ACGTATGTATATATATATATATATAATATATATAATATATATAATATGATAATATTATATATATATATATGTGTGTGTGGGGGTGTGTGTGTGTTGTGTTGTGTGTGTGTGTGTGTGTGTGGTGTGGTATACTGGTAATAATATATATTATATATATATATATATATATATAATATATATATATAATATAGATATATATATATATAATAAATATGTATATATATATGTATATATATAATATATATATATATATATATAATATATATATATATTGTTGGTGTGGTTGTGTGTGTGTGTGTATGTGTGTGTGTGTGTGTGTGTGTGTGGTGGTGTGTGTGTGTGTGTGTATGTATGTGTGTGAGTGTGTGTGTGTATTTGTATAAGAGGAGTGAGCGAGAGCCAGATCGAGGGAGGCAGCGAGGGAGGGCGCGAGGGCGCGAGGGCGACGGCGGCGGCCGGCCCAGAAGGGTTACCCACGTGGACCCTAGAAAATGAGGCACGCCGAGCGCTCAGGGCTGAGTCGGTGGGCGATGAGACTAGGGTAAGATCAGGGCGGGTGACGGGGAGGGGGGGGGGCGGACGACCTCTCGTGTCTGTACGTAAGCAAAGCGTGTACTGGGGGGTGGGGCTGGGGGAGGGGGGAGGGGGGAAAGGGGGTTTAATTTGATAACTAGCTTTGGTAAGCGTCTGGATTGAGGTATGTCCGGAATTTCGTGGGTTTGGATGCGAGGTTTCTATGTGCGTCCGTGTGCATGTTGGGGGTGTGGGGATCGGGGGTAGGGGGGGTTGTGTGTGTGTGTGTGTGTGTGTGTGTGTGTGTGTGTGTGTGTGTGTGTGTGTGTGTGTGTGTGTGTGTGTGTGTGCGTGCGTGCGTGCGTGTGTGTGTATGGATGCTTGTATACATACTTCTATGTATGTATTTCACCGCATTTATCATGTTTGCATCCATTTATCTGCGTTCGTATGTGTGTGCATATCCTTGCTTACCCAATATCCACACACGCTCGGCTGTATGTTGCGCGTATGTGGATACCTCTGTTTACATTAGTATGAGTTCGTGTCTGAATATTCGCAGGAAATTGCACGAGGTTGCCACTTGAACTTGGAGGCAGCGGGGGAAGGGGGGGAAGGGGGGTTGAAATGCCTGGGTCGGTGTCCATGTCAGGAAAGGAGGAGGAGGAGGGAGGAGGGGGGAGGGGAATGGAGGGAGTGAAGCTTGGAGTGTCATGATACAGGTTAGAGCATCCGGGACCTCGGGTCACTGATGGCCAGACAAGGTATGCTGCAGTTACAAATAAAGTGACAGATGATGGCTTGATAATCGAAGGGAGGGAGAGAGGGAGAGAGGAGAGAGGGAGAGAGGAGAGAGGGAGAGAGGAGAGAGGAGAGAGGGAGAGAGGGAGAGAGGAGAGAGGGAGAGAGGAGGAGGGAAGAGGGAGAGAGAGAGAGAGGAGAGAGGGAGAGAGAT